AGTTGATCCATTGCTCCTATTGCAAACAAAGGTAGTCAGTTGAACATTCTTCGTCAGAAAATTATACGGTATAACTTTTGTATTTCTTGAACACCCTTAACGAAATTTCTGAGAACGTTTTACCTTTGGTTGCTCCATAAACAGCTTCATATGGTAATGCTGAAGCCCCAGAAATAGAAGAAATAAAGACAACATTGCCCCTTTGTGATGCTTTTAAAAAGGGGTGTGCAAGTACAGATAAGTGGTAAGCAGCCTCAAAGTTGATACTCATAATTAGAGAGTAATCTTCCATAGTGTAATCTTTAGCTTCTTTGTATATGACAATACCAGCATTATTAACCTAGGGAGAAAAAAAGAAATGGTTCAAAATGTCATCTTTCTCTAAAAGAAGGGTACATGTTTCGATAACGAGCGATCGTCTCATGTTTGAACAACATTTTGTGCTGATATGTTATAAATAAAACTCGAAAATATTTATTCTATCGGTGGATGAAGAATCACTAACATTATAATTTCTAGTAGATCATTTGTTCAATTTAAGATTCCATTTGGCTTGAGAAGCATTCAGAAAAGCATATAGAACTTGATGTTTCCTCCATCTCAATTGAGGTTGCATAAAAAGACTTTTGAAATTTGTAATCTAAAACGTGATATAGATATTTTTGTGATTAAAGGTTAAATAGGAAGTTTAAAGTTAAATTATTTTCAAACATAATAAGACCAACCACATTCTTTTTGAGTCCGAATAAAAATTACATAAATGGGGATAAGTCCTTTCTTCGGAATAATCAATTAGGTTAACATCCTGCACACATTTAGAAAAGACTTTAGCACTTTCCTTATTGAGCAGACATGAAAGTGTTCATCCACTACATTCTTTTTGAGTCGGAATAAAAATAACATAAATAGGGATAAGCCTTTTCTTCAAAATAATCAATTAGGTTATCATACTAACGTCTCAGAACCGCCTTCCTTGATCAAGCAAACACAAAAGGGGTTCAATATCCCCAACATTCTTTTGGAATCGGAATAAAAATCACATAAACGGGAATAAAGGGGTTATAAAGTAATTAAATATTTCTGTGAGGCCCCAACTTAAGATTAGAAGTCTCACATCGACAAAAACACACAAAAGAGATGTTGGGTTTATAAATAAGCAGATCTTACCAACTAGTGACGCATTTTAAAACCGTATGAGCCTAGATCCAGAGCGGACATTACGATCTCATCTTAGAAATGTGTATTAAACTTACCAAAATATTGAGTTTTCCATCAAAATGATTAGCAACAGTCTTGATAAACTCCTCTCTTTCAGATCTTGATGATAAATCACAAACAGAAGCTTCAACTTTAAAACCTTTACTTCTCCATTGAGTTAAACACTCATTAAGCTCCTTTTGATTACGTGAACATGTATAAACTGATGCACCAAGACTTGCTAATTCTTCTACTATCCCATACCTAAATTAATCATCAATTTCATCATCACATAGATCGAATCGTCGAATCAAAAAAATTGAGTGCTATCATAAAGTTCTCAAAAAAAAAGGTTTCTTTTAACTTAAAGGAAAACATTATTTCGTTCTTGTCAGATTGTTCAGATTCTTCAAAAATATTTATACTTAAACTCTCTAAAAATGCATTATTTGTAAAGAAATTCCTCACAACAGTACTTTTGAAAAATCCGAACAACATATATACAGATTATTACTATATAGATGAAATTAATTTAAATTGCAAAATTTTGTTGAATAAATCAAGAATCTCATAAATAATCATTTAAATTAAAAAAAAAAAAAAAAAACTGACCCAATGCCTCTAGAGCCACCAGTAACAAGGGCAGTGCAGCCTTCAAGATTCCATCTTCCTGCTGCCATAACTACTAGCCTAGTGCACAAGACTTGAAAAATGGGTTTTAGACAAGTTTTTAATGAAGCCTCCAATTGATTTATAGAATCCTTTTCCTTTTCTTTTTTTTTAAATTTTAATAATTGACAAAATTTTAATTTCAATTTACATGGCTGGCTTTTTTTTTTAGTCGATTCCAATAGAAATGACACATTGTACAATTTCAATTTCCATGGTTGACTTTCCTTTTTTAGACGATTTCAACAAAAATGACAGACTTCAATATTTAGTACTCCCTTTGTTTTAATTTATGTGACATATTTCATTTTTTGAGAGTCAAACCGTTTGAGTTTGACCGAAAATTTGCGCATCAATTTTTTGAAATGAAATTTATATATATTTTTCGCACATAATATTTAAGAGAATTTGCGCATTCAATTTTTTGACACATCTTAAATATTTTAAAAGTATATGAAAAATATTTATGTGACACATCTTAAATATTTTTCATATACTTTTAAAAGTACTATAAGTCACAATATTTGACAATTCATAATATTTAAAAGATATATGAAAAATTTACAATAAAAAATAGATTAGTTTGAATTTCGAAAACTGAAATGTGTCACATAAATTGGGACGGAGAAACTAACAATTTAATTTTAAAATGCTCATGTTACCCCTAATTAAATGATTTCTAGCCACACATATATCTATCACTAATTTTAAACCACAAGTTTCAAAAGTTTTTATTTATTTCTTAAACTCTGTGTCAAATAAATTTAACTAATATAAATTAGAACAGAGAGACTAATATTATTTGTTGTATTTTGGACAATCCTCTCTTTATAAGTTGATTTTAAGGTTGAATTAAGCTTAAAATTCATAGTTATCATGATATTAGAGTTAAATTCATCCCATTTTATTATCGATTAAAGTTAAATCCAGCCCAATATATTTATCGATGTTGAACCTCTATTTTTACGTTATGGACCCTCCAAATGTCTGATTTTGAGCGTGTGGAGAGCGTTGAATCCCACCTAATTCATTTAGGGATGAAAAGACCTTGAAATGATTTGAGAAGAATGAGTAATTAATGTTGTGAGTAAAATATATAAAAAAAATATTTTTTTCTATATTAAAAGTGACTATTATGTCAATAATAATTAATGATTTATGTACAGTTGGTGGCATGATGGATGATCTGATCCACTCATCCAAGTGAAAATTTCCCACTAATTAAAGAATACTACATGTAGGGTATACTTGGTACGCAGTCCAATTTTTCCATAGTTAAAATATTCTGAAAATAATTTTAAGGAACTCGAATTATTTGGAATGGCTTCGAGAGATTTTTATTTTTACACATAAAAATTTTATGAAAAGATAGGAAGATGGGCACTGCATGAACTAATGGTAGTGATATTTACTAAAAAAAATCACTAATTTAAAATATTCGCTCGATTTATTTTTACTTATTCACTATATTTAAAATATATTTATTTTTTTAATTGTCCAATTTAAATATTAAAATCTAATTTTATATTTTTACCCTTGTTATTACTTTTACCTAAATAATTGATTTTGAATATCTCACACGGGCTCTAGTTGACTTAATAATATAATATATATTAATATGCTACGCCCTCCAATTTTGGACGTGCACAAGTAAACACTTAAACTTATATAGAGTTAATAAGTAGAATCACACATCCTACATGACATTATACACATAGGACGCCATGTATGATGTCAAGTCAGGAGTGAATTGTCACGTAGGACGCCAAGTAGGATGTGTGTGTATTTACCTGTTCAGCTTTAGACAAGTTTGAGTGTCTATTTATGCACACACCAAAATTACAGAGCATAAATACAAAATAAAATTAAGTTAAAAAGTACGTTTATATATTATGCCTATCTTAATTAATAGCAAATTTTTAGAAATATAAAATGAAAAGAGAAATAACGAAAGCATATCAACAAGCATTACAATTAAGGGTGTGTTTGGTACAGGGAAAATATTTTTTTGTAGAAAATATGTGTTGGTTGTCCTCCTGTTAAGGGGGAAATTAAGAAGATTGACAAATGGTAGCGCTCTTTAATTTGTATTAGTGAAAATATTTTGGTTTTTCAGGTTATTAATTTTGACTAATGTACGTTTAAATTCTAATAAACTTAGATTAAATTTTTAGAAAGTAAAGACCTGTTTATTTTACTTTGTGATTTCATTATTTCCTCAATAATTCACAGATAGTGATTGGCGCTATTGTATATATCATCAATTATCAATAATGAGGTGCTTATTATGTATATAATAACTAGAGAAACATGGGATCCATACTGTGCAAGCAACTTCTTTGCCAAATTTACTTTGTATGCAATTTTATAAAGGGAAAAAGATAAATATACCCCGAATTATCATAAATGGTTCGCAGATATCCTTCGTCATATTTTTGGGACATTGGTGTCCCTATCGTCCAAAAACTAGAGCATATATGCCCTTCATTCTAACGGAAGACTAAATAGGGACACGTGACACAATCTTATCCGTTGATCCGATATTTAATAAATGTTGGGTCGGTAATAAGATTATGACATGTGTATGTCCGTTAGTATAAAGGGTGTATATATATGCTCTAGTTTTGGATGGCAGAGACACCAATGTTCCAAAAGGACGGAGGGTATCTGCATACTATTTACGATAGTTCGGGGGTATATTTGTCTTTTTCTCTTTTATAAATTATTTAAAATAGAAATTAATAGAAAATTGCATATATATATATATATATATATATCAACAAATAATACATTCAATTAAGATCACATACGTTATGTGGTCATGTAGTTACCTTTTCAATTAGTAAATGTTAAACAACTCACATTTCAAATATTGTATTGGATTAAGCAACAAACAACTTCTCTAAATAATAAAATTTATTAGTAAATAAATTTATTAGTATAAATATAAAACATAAAACCAAAAAAAATAAACAAAATGATTAAAAAGATTTGAGGGGTATTTTTGTCTTTACATATATTTAATCGCATAGTATTAAATCATATATATTACTAATACCACCAAATGGAAGATATTAGTTATGCATACACACACTATAATACCATGTAGGATGTATAACTAATACATCAATTAGTTATACATAGATCCAAAATTTCCACCAAATATAATACTAAATAGTACCATACATAATCCATGACCTATATCTCCAAATACACCCAAACAAACGACCTTTAAGTGCTTAAAATCTTAATGAAAACAAATGTACTTCATAATCTAATGTCTGAATCATTCAAATTCAGACTTTCATTAAGTACAAACTGAGGCCTGAATGTTTGATAAAGTAATTGAATATGTATTAAGCCTATATATTCTTCATTCTCTTCCCTGTGCATTGCCACAATATGTTTCTGATGAAGAAGACACTGAGACACAATTGAATTTGTATTGTGGCAATGTGTCATGTCCCACCATTTGGAACATTAGTGAGACTCTAAGTCTCTGACAAATGTCTGTCTAATGAAGAACAATTAGTTCAACTTGCCAACGCCGCCACATGAACTACAGGATCGGGCAGCATTGCATTTCATACAGTAGCCCCACTTTTTCGGAAGCCTGCCAAATGCATGAAATGAATTCGTGTATCTAGAGCTCGTTGCATATGAATGAGAGGCTTAACGGAATTGGAAACATACCCTGCTGTATATCTGGTAGCTGCATTTTTTGCCATCAGTCTTGCTCTTTCAGCATTTTCATCCGACATCTTTTTTAGCACAAATCCTTCCCCTCTGCATTCTGCGCAAACTCCAGAGCCACCACAATCCTCACAGATTCTCAGCGGGGCCTGTCTATGGATAAAAACAACGATCAACGTGGGTTGTATAAGAGCATAAAAACAAGCACATTTGAGCAACAAATTAACTATTGGTTTCCCCCCTACTTGACAACTCTCCATATTGATTTTCCTCTTTTCTGGTTAGTTTGAAAAACTTCCTTCAACTTTGTGTCAAATCAAAACCAGACAAACAGATTGAAATGGAGGAAATAGGAGCAGCAAATAAACTACTACAGATTGGTACCTTAGGCTAACAGTTAACCTCACTGAATGGCTAGAAACAAAACAGTGTAGAAAGGTACAAGAACAACAAAAAAGTGTGATAATCGAAACACACAGTAAACAACTGACGATGCTAGATATAAAAAACAAGAACTTCAATACTACGGCTAGTACAAAGTAAAGTAGTGCGTAACATCAAGGAACCGTAACAACAACAAGGTGCTATCACCAAAACACATGAACAACAAATATCTTTCCTCTTTTTTCTTGAAAGACAGAAATGTCAGCAAACCATGGTCGGAAAGGCTACTCTTTCTCGATACTTCAAGATCAGTATCAGAAAATACCCTTAGTGTAATTTCATCCCCAATATAACAATATTGTTTAATGAGAAAAAGGACAAATATATCTCCGAACTATCGTAAATGGTATGTGTTGGTGTGACATTTTAATATTAATAAAAATATATTATATGTCACATTATGCATCATGTTCTGTCTATTGATGGACATTACATTTGTGCCTCTTTACTCTCATCAATTGTGTAACCACCAACTCTTCCTTTCATCCATTATTCTATCTTTATGTCTTGTAACTTACATAACATTTGAGCCATTCATTTGGTAAATTTACTACCCACTATCTTCCTATTCATTGCAAGGAAGAATTCATCACTTATAAATAGTGTGGTATTCCTTTGTGTTAATGAGAAGAAGAAACAAGAGAAGTACAAGAAAATATAGAGTGAAAAAGATGAGTAGTATTTTATTGTGTTTATATTGAGATTAGTGTAGTAGTGAAATTGAGAGTTGAGACAAAGAATAATATTCTAAGTCTTCAACTATATTCACTATATACAAGAGAGAATATTTATATGTTGAAGGAAGATGTTTTTTTGTGGAGCTTTGGACTCAACTCTTGTCTAAGAGTTGAGTTATACTTTGTGTTAAGACTGTTGTATCTTGAAGGGGACAAGTCAAGAGTGATACTGTTGGATCGGTGTAGATTATGCCGCAGTAGGCTTGAATCTCCTTAAAGAGAGCGAGATATCTGTGTCTCAGCCTAAAGATTTGTTTATAAATTTTTGTTCATTTTATTTCAACGGTAATGTATTGTATTTGTGGTATATTACACCAACAATATGCAGATACCCTCCGTCATATTTTTGGGACATTGGTGCCCTTGCCGTACAAAAACTAGAGCATATATGTCCTTCACTCTAACGGAAGACTAAATAGGGACACGTGACACAATCTTATCCGTCGATCCGATATTTAATAAATGTCGAAACAGTGAATAAAATTATAACACGTGTATATCCGTTAGTATAAAGGGTATATATGCTCTAATTTTTTAACGGAGGGTATGTGCATATCATTTACGATAGTTTGAGATATATTTGTTCTTCTGCCCTTGTTTAACTGCTCAAGGATATGAACAAGTATTTCTATGGAAAGAAATAACTCTTTCTCAGATTTCAACGCACCTCAATTGGTTCAGAAGCTTTATTTCTCCTCACAAGAATAGTTGCGGCAGCCCCCACAACAGTAGCAGCAACTGCAATAGATGCTGCTGTTTCTAAAACCGCGGAAGATACCTTGAGCACTCTTCTGGCTGCAGGTTCTTTTGACTTGGTAGAACCACAAGGATAAATGCTTGTACACAAGGCATTGCAATCTCTAGATTTCAATGTTTCAGTTACTTCAAAGATCAAAAGCAAGTTAAGCTATAGGAAAAAATTCTACTAACAGATAGGTGAGACAATATCTTAGAATAGGAAAATTGAATAATAGTACATACCTAACCATAAGTCACGGAAAGCAACAAAGGAAGTACATTAAAAGTAAAATTTGATGATAAAAAATAGTTTTTGTTTTCAACGTATAAATTTGAGTTCGGCTATGAATACAAATTGGAGATAATTTTTTCTTTTTTTTTGAATATTTGGAATGAAAAAAGTGAAAACACCATCTTGTTGTTTTTCAAAAGCTAAAATTCAACTTCAAGATGAACTCAAAATTTTATAGCTAAATGTGCTTCTCAAAGTTCAATTCCAAAAAAAAAAAAAAAAAGAAGCCAAAATCCGAATTTATGGTTAAAATTAAGAAATTTGACTCAAATTGTGACATATAAATTTAGAAAGAGGGAGTAAATAACATCAAATTAAATTGGTAAGGATTCGATTCGTCTAATGCCCCTCCCCATTTCTCATAACCCTACCCCAATATGCTATTCTTAATTTTCATGGTTCAATTTGCTCCATTTTTTATTCTAATATTTATTATAATCTGTAAATGGAAATTGAAAATAAAAAGTAAATGTTATTGTTGATGGAGCTACTGAATTCCAACAAGTAAATATAACGAAAAACACAAGAATAATAGTATGAAATCTTACTTACTTGTAATAGAAGAAGAAATGTGTACAGAGAGCATATGTAAACTGAGCCCCATCTTATGGTTAAAATGGCATTTCACAACTTGTGTTAGTATTGGAGATATTTCTCACCATTGGTTGCACGTTCCTAGACAAAAGGTCTATATTACTCCCTTATCTCTCTAGTACTAGTATGTAAAATAAATAATAAATAAGATGACAAATATGGCAGTAAAGACCAAGAATTTTGGGCCACCTTCCAGCAGCCCACTCCCCTTAGCTTCTTCTTATTTCCAGCAGCAACAATTTTCCCAGCCAACTTAATTCTTCTGACCCGACCCACCTCCTTTTTCTATCACAAAAAAGACCCACTCCAACAATACATACAATACATACAGCGATTACAACGACAACGACCAGACCCAGACCCCTGTTACCCTTCTTCTTCACGCAGGAAGTGACCAGAAACGAGCCAACAGCCCAGAAAAACGTACAGCAGCTGTCCGACGCGTCAAAAACACGCAGCAAAAGCAACGAAAAGCAGTAGCTGTTCACGCGCCTTCTTCGGCCTAGTACTGTTTCTCGTACAAGCGCAGCAGCAAAAGCAAGTCGTGCTTTCGTCCTTGCAGCTGCGAGATGGAGACACGTAGCGTCTCAAGGATGGGTGATTTGATCCCACCTGTCCGTCCCCCTTTCCCCTTTCGGAATGAGTCAAAACCTCAAGAAAATGGTGTTTTAGTCGAAGGGTGAAAGGTTTTGGAGTTTTTGAATTTTCAAATTTGGCCTTTTGAATAGGATTTTTTCTTATCCTTTTTCCCCCATTCGAAACCCTATTTCCCTGCTATATATATGGTTTATTGTTCACTGTTGAAGGGGGGGATTTTTTTTTAGTTTTAATTTTTTTTTTAGAAACGTTTGCTAGAGAAAACAGAGGGGAAATATTGAGAGAAAAAGACTCTGATACTCAAGAAATCATACACGTTTCCTCTAAATCCTAAGTCGTGAGAGAGCTTTTGTTTGGGTCCGGGTTGCATTTTGTGGTCAGCTGCCCGAGATTTGAATTTGTGTGGTGGAAGAAGTTCGTCCTCTCGCTGCTGTCCGGTTCGCTGCCCAGAAGAAGGTAACAACCGCATCCTTATCTCGTTTCGTCTCATGTTTCTGTTATTTGAGTTCTTGGTGTCTTGATACTATGTCTATCTTGAATCGATTTCAGTATTTCCTCTTAGCGTGGATTCAAAAAAATTTGCCGTTTCGTAGTTGATGTTGTTGTTTCTCTATTTGGGTTTGTCTTGTTGTTTTCTTCTCGTCCATTTACTTGAATGTCGTCGAATCCATACTCTTTATTTTCATCGTCTTTAAGCTACTATTGATGTTATTGGATTTTCAAGATGAGGATTGAATCTTATAACTGATTAGTATGAAAGTTGTATGTTGTTTTGCCTATTGTTTGTTGGATATGACAATTTGTTTTCTCCATTTTCAAATCTCATGATTGTACTATTGTTTAGCATGTCGTGTTTGAGTCAAGTTTATGCCTCCATTCTGTCTAATTTGTTGCTTGTGGTTATGAGATTAGTTAATTTTCGAGTAGCGAAAAATGATAAACTGATTCTTTCTTTCTAGTTGTTTTGCTCCTTGCTTTGAGTAGTTGCGACACAAATAATGTTAGCTATGTGTATTTGGTTTATTTAGTGTGATTTAAGTAGGAAATAGTGAGATGAAATGTGAGGTTTGATTTTTATTTCCTTGAGGCAGTAACTTTTTTTTGTGTCAAAGTTAATCACTTTTTCCACTAGTTTCTTGTGCAGTGTCTAAGGTTAAGTCCTTTTGTTAATCACCAAGCAAGTTGTGTGTGCTCTTATCCTTGAGATTATTTAATTTAGATTTGTTTAAATGAATTGAATTTGATGTTATTCATGATTTGCATACAATATGTGACTAAGTGTCCATTTGAGAATTCTCCGGTTGAGCTTAGACTAAGTCTAACAAATTGTCAAATCACTTTCTTTTGTTCGTGTATAATTAATTAGTTTTTTTTTTAATATTTAAGAAACACTAATTACATATATAATTATGAAATGCTATAAGATTGACTAAAATTACTTAAAGTAACCTCGAAAAAAAAATATTTGAATTTTATAAAGCTAATTATTCTAATTCGTTTTGAAAGTTAAGAGGCTCAGAAATTAATTACTATCGGAGAGGGTCAAAATTGGGTGTCAACAACACCTATCTTAATAAACTTCCCTTTTAGTATACCAAATAGAGGAATTAAACAGTCGGTGCTCCACGTAGGAAAAATAAATCAGCAAACTTCATGAGGAGCGCACTGTCAACAGGTCTCAAGACCCAAAGAGAATAGAGAATTTGTTGTCACTGTTACACTCTGCTTGTTCGGAAAAACATGCTAGCATATAACGTCATAACGTAGCTTAAAAGAAAGTCTGCAGTTTCAACTTCTTCTATCTAATTGTTCTCTGCTTCTGCCATATCTTTATCACCACCTTCGTTTCTTTCTTCGATTTGAGCTTCTTTGTTATATCAGGTGAGCTTGAATTCATTGTCAACTTCTTCTTAAATTGTTGTGTTTTTTTTATAACGATTTATCTTTTTCCATAATATGCTGCATGTATGCAAGATTTTATTTTTCCCTTATCTGTTGCTGTTAATTTGAAGGGGGGCCTTAAATCACGGGTAAAAAGTTATATCCCTATGTGACCTATAATTCATGGGTTCGAGCACTAAAATTAGTCATAGAGTCACAGCTTACATTAGGATATATATTAGTCATGAGTTTGAGTAATAAAATTAGTCATGCTTACATTAGGATGACCGGTTAGTCATTGGTTCGAGCACTAAATTAGTCATAGCTTACATTAAGATGACCTATAAATCATCGGTTTGAGTACTAAAATTAGTCATAGCTTACGTTCTTCTCAATCCGTGCAGTACAATTGTAGCCAGCCTAAATGATAGATTCACACCTGTGAAATATCAATTATAAGTTAGTATGCAAGCCTAGAAAAAGGATGAAAAGTAGACAATGACTCATTCAACATGAAGGTGGCCAAAATTCAAAGTGATTAGTATAAAATTTTAAGAAGAATAAATCAACTCCACACATACATTGTGATTTTTAAAATAGGAAAAATCAAAAGAAGGAAAAACAACTTATTGAGCTCAGGAGTTAGCTATGTAACACATAAATGTGAAGTACTAAAAAAACACGTGAGTGCTCTTCCAGAATCCGAGTCCTGAGATATAAAAAATACCAACTAGGTATAAATAAGATGAGACCAAGTTATTTTTTTGGTTTTCTGTAGTTTTATTTAGTTACTCGTACAACCTCTAGAAATCCATGCAGATTTAGTTAAGCTTAGAACATGGTGAAAGCAAAAACCCTTAGGAAATATTACAATCTTATGAAGACCGACTAAAAAGAAAAGTGAGTAGTATAAATTGAAACAGTTAAGCTAACGATTCTAACATTGTTAAGTATTTTTTTCAGTTGGAAATGGTTAGAATATGGGGTTTAAGTAAAGCCAGCCCAATATAGCTTATATCAGCTTCACGTACCCAGAGGAAGTCGGCGGCGGTTTCCTTTACTGATCTCCGGCGACTGCAGAAAATCATCTCCGACAGCAATAATGGGTAAGAAATCATCGAGGAAGAATGGAGTTGGTAAAGCACTTGGTTCAATTACATTAAGAGAAGAATCAGGTGTGAAGAAGAAACAAACTCATGTTAATGCGAAATCGATGCTGAAATTGGAGCATATAAAGGATATTGCTACCTGGGCTAGTGGCGAAGGTTCCATACCTTCACTTGGTGCGTTTTTTGGGCAGAGATTAGCTGTAGCAGCTGAGTCTTTGGGTGTTCCACCTGACCCTTCATTATTTACTTGTCAAAGGTTTGAGCTTTTTATAAAAATTTTATTTGATTTGTCTTGCATTTATGAATACATACTTTGTTAATTTTGTGATGGGTTGAAAAATGGATATTTGTTCATTAATGGTTGTAGGGGTATAGTAAGAGAGATAGGATTAAAGATTAGTATATTCGGAATAGGTAGGAATGGTTTTGGTGGAGGACAAGATGCGGGAAGCTAGACCGAGATGGTTCAGGCATGGAGATGCAGATGCACAAATGTGTGAAAGTGTGAGAGGTTGACTATGGTTGGTTTTAGGAGAGGTGATTAGACCGGATATGACGTAGTTTTTAGCTTATTGAGAGCATGACCTTATATTGGAGCTTGTGGAGGATACAAATTAGTGTAGGAGGTTATAGGACATTACTAGGTAGTAATGTGTTGTATTGCTATCCGTCCATACAAGTGGTTGTAATTTCTGTTACTATCTTTTGTTTCATGTACATTGATTATCGTATTATTTAGTTGTAGTGTTCAGTATGCTTTGTTATGCTTTCTCTTTCTGGACTGCTTTGCACTGTTTTCTCGAGTCTATTGGAAACAACCTTTGTATCCTAATATAGGGGTCAGGACAAGGTTTGCCAGCACTCTACCCTTCTAGACCTCACTTTTTTATATTGTACGAACCAGTGTAGAAACGACGTTCAATGATGAATTGCACCGGATCACACACCTCAAGATCTCTCCGGCGCTAAGCATGTTGACAACTTTAATTTCTAGGCCATCCTTTAGACGAGGAATATACATGAACACCATGGAGGTTAGAAAAACAGGAACAATAAAGACTAGGCTCCAGAGAAAGGACTGATGATACTGTTCAATTTCATCTCTTATCTAGGAAATGTCACTCCCTTGAATCGTCCTGAACCAGTTGACTCGACTACTTGAATAAATTTTTGAGGTCCTGTGACATCTGATCGGTAAAAAAGGGATATCTTCTTCTGCTTTGTAGCAATATCAGGGTCTTCAACTCCTGCAAGTGCTCTAATAGAAGTTTCAATAATCCTCATGAAATTGTCAGTGAGTGCTCCATCAAATCTCTCGCCTAAGTGTAACCAGAACATCAAATTCATAACCAACTTCTTTTTTCAATATTTGGGAAATCCTCTAAGTCCAGCAATGCACGTTCCGAAACTCATTGAATAATGGGAGTGTCATCTACTCCTCTCCTTTTTTAATAGCATGC